CCCAAAGATAACGATAACAGAAAAATTTTAATTGTACTGTACAGTTTAGTCTTTAATATTGTTTTGGTCATAAGCTGTCCGATTGGCATAAAAATTACTTATTCTACTCATTATACTCTTAGAATTCAGATCAGAATAGGATAAAAAAATTCACAGGAAAATGGACAGCATCTAGTTAATCGGGTTATGTAGTATAGATTTAATGTGGAGTCCAACTGAAGTATGGAACTGAAGTATGAAGCCAAGCTCTGACGTATAACCAGGACCTTTTGCAGGTTTTATTAAATAGATTCTTAACACGATTTTCATAAGTTCCCAAGATAACACAAAAATATTTNATGTCTTATATATCGGTGATAAATTAACTTTATAGAAAAATAAATAACTACATTTATTTTTATCGCTTTCGAATTCAACTTATAAATTTGAACGATTATTCTGAATGATATAATCGATACTCGTGACTGATTCTATATCCATTTCCGCTGTATTAACGAAAGCGGATATGACAGTTCGTGTTATGAATCTTATCCAACGTCACTTCCTTTCTCGGTTCAATGTTATTGAAAAACGAGACAGCGTATTTTCTATTTCTAAAATGCAAATTGTTCAATCGTATCACTTAAGTAGTTATCATTTATCATTTGATATGGTGTAACGTTAATTAATTGTTTATATAAATATAATTTCTATCTATAATATTTGTGCGTTTAGATAAGTACAGTACGTGCATATACTGCATGTAATAATACTGATAATGCTTTTATATATATTATGATAATAACTTATTTCATATACCTACTCAAAAAAGCACTTCCAATATTTTGATATAAATGTTTCGGTTGAAATCTTGATATCATACGTGTAAACAATTCTAGAAAAATGGTGAGAAATAACAAATAGGGTAAAATGACGGATCATTTTGTAACCGTTTTATATATCTTGATGTCAAATAGTGAAAAGTTATCGCCAAAAATATATATTTTATGCTTCTGCTATAAACATCAGGACAAATAAAATATGATTATTGCTCTAGTTTCTTATTCAAATATTCTTTATTTTTTACGTTTCTTTAAGCATTAAAACAATGTAATCTTGTACTGTACGTATATCAGATTTTTGTAAGAAACCTGTGAGTTTGACATCTCAGAACTATTGTTATATGAAATGGAGAATATCGTATATCGTTGTAGATCAAATATAAACTGAAATAAATTATTTTAAATTCAATTTCAGTTATGAATAACATTTTAAATTATATGCTATAGCACACACATAAGTAAATGTGATAACATGAATACATCATTAACTAATGTACAGGGTGAGTCATAATTCTCCATACAAATGGTGAAAGCGGTGAGTAATGTTTTATTCGTACAAATGGTATCATATGATGCAACAGAATAATGTCAATTCGTCCTTCCTTTGTTAGTGGCATTTCTTTTCAATTGGTTCACCTTCCTGAAAACGAAAAAAGAAATTAGTCACCGACTTCACCATTTGTATGGAGGCTTATGACTCACCCTGTACTGTACCTTAAGCCATATCCCAAAGATAACGATAACAGAAAAATTTTAATTGTACTGTACAGTTTAGTCTTTAATATTGTTTTGGTCATAAGCTGTCCGATTGGCATAAAAATTACTTATTCTACTCATTATACTCTTAGAATTCAGATCAGAATAGGATAAAAAAATTCACAGGAAAATGGACAGCATCTAGTTAATCGGGTTATGTAGTATAGATTTAATGTGGAGTCCAACTGAAGTATGGAACTGAAGTATGAAGCCAAGCTCTGACGTATAACCAGGACCTTTTGCAGGTTTTATTAAATAGATTCTTAACACGATTTTCATAAGTTCCCAAAATAACACAAAAATATTTAAAGTAATGTAAGAGTTGTGAATACATAAAAATTATAGACATAAAACAAACAAAAAAAGTAAAAACGTATAATACAAATAAAAGAAATTAAATCCATTAGATGTTAGTAAGTCTGATATACAACATAGCGCATCCAATTTTAGTCTAAATGTATATAACTATTTGCTTGTTTTATATTTGTGTCTAAACCATCCAGTAGCATTGCCAATCGAAATTATGTAATTTTCTGTCCCACAGATGATCTGTAATAAGAACTTCATAGATTTGATCTCTGTGTGTAAACTTTTCAAGTCAATTTGATTAGAAAATACATTAAATTAGTGTCGTAATAAAATGGTTTAGAAGGAAAATATAAGCAATAATTTAATACATAATAAATGAATATCGTTGGCATTATTATTAGTATAATAATCCTCTACATTCGAATCCAAAGTTAAGTTTGTCCCATCCGTAAAGCACTATGACTATTCCCTTGTCAACATGTTTTCAAGATAAAACGATTTGATGCAATATTAATCTTACTTTATCCTGACAATAAAAATTATTGTTATTGTTATTATGTGGCATTCTGTAGTGACATTTCATAGAATTTACTACAGTAATGTGGAAATAAGTTATTTGTAGCATTTGTAACTTTTAACGCTTTCTAGACTTTTAACGCTTACAACATTATAGAAATTCACATATATTTAAAATAAGTTAAATTTTTTAAATTAAAATTATAGAGAAATTGAAATTTTAGTTCCTTATTTCTTAAGATTGTGATCGATGCAGATTATTCTCCAAAGAATTTAAATGTATCATAAAGAAGTTCCAGAAAACTTCCTAAATTTCTGTGTAATTTCTGTGATGATAGTGAAACATTTAACTTGTCAAGAAAATGAATATTCACAAATTTGTACAGATATATCAAAATTATAGATCATAAAGTATTTCAAATTCTGTAAGATTATGTTTCCATGAGTTATTTTTCCAATTAGAATTTCGGACGAAATTAAAACAATAGTGAATCTTAATTTAGATGTTAATATATACAAATTTTTCATGAGTGATTTGTTGATCTGTTTCGGATATGTCGGTCTCCAATCCTCACTGTCCCTGTTATAGACCTGATCAAGTCTACGACGGGTATGGAAGAAACGCTCTCTCAATGTCCACAAGACAGAAAGAGTTAAAAATGACAAAAAGAATAAAAAATGTAAAGTTTTGAAAATAGTTTTTTCTTTTATATTTTTAAAATGTTTAAATACTTATCGAAAAGCGAATCTAAATTTAAATTATGAATTATAATGAATCAAATGTAATACAAATTAGAATCTATGTATGGACTATTATACAACTAATATTATAAATTTGATAATTTTATCTAGTTTATGCTTTTTCTAATTATTTGATTTATTTTTTAATAATTATTGTATAATATTTTCCTCAAATCGTAAATTATTCTAAATATACGGCCGATGTAATGTCATGAAAATTTCAGTAGTCTATGAAGTTCTTGTACTGTACATTTAATGAATGATTATTCAAAAATTATTATATAGCATTTATACATTAAAATTTATATTTTAGCAAATTGAAGGAAAGAAATTTATGAATTTATCTTGTCCTTCTTGTTTGCTGATTTTTCCACAAAATTCCAGGCAAATGAGAGCTACAGAAATGAATTTTTTTTTAAAAATTGTATTGGAAATAAATTCCTCGTATGGTATGTCCATACGAGGAATTACTGTATATATCTACTGATATATATCTACTATAATTTACGAATACTTATACAAACGAATGTAATGTTTTTACTACAAAAAATTTATAATATTATTTACAAAATTATTCTTTAAAATTAAATTCATTACAGAAAAAAATTATTACTTTTTTATTACTTAATAATACAGTAATATCTTCACTATTCTTTATAAACGCGAACATTGAGTTTTGCAATTTACCAAACTTTAGTTCGCCTTGATTTAGCCTTAGGTTTTTTGACATTCATTTTAAGAAAATTTTTTTTTTGAAATTTATATCCTTCAGTTCAGATAACTTGAATAAAAATTGAAACAAATAAAATTGTTCATTTAAATTTTAAAAATTTAACTCAGTTTTTTTTATATTTAAAATTTATTTCAGATAGGCTTTTTTATAGCACTTTCCACTTTCAAACATCCATTACGTATTCTTTGAGAACTACAGTGCTTCCATTAAATATCATGGCACGGATGTATAAATAGATAAATTTTATGAGATATTACGTTAAGAGGAAGCATTTCGTACAAAAAGAAAAAACAAAATTTTAGGATGTGTTTCCATGTTATCGGGGATAAATTTTACATCTATTAAATCAATGCTCTTTCTCCTCAAATCCAAAATTCACGAACAATTTCCGATTGTGTAAAATTTGTACCGCATCAGATAGTCAATATTTTGGAAAGTATTAGATTAATCTGGTTCTGTATTCTCTTATAAATCAATAAAAGTAAAAAAGGGCATTTTTACGTTTAGTTTTAAAAAAATTATTAAACATAGTTTAAATTTAATCAAAAATATAACTTTTCACTGAAATTTTTACATAAGTATATAACAAATGTACTGTACATGTATAGGCCTACAAATATTATTAATGCAAAAATATTTTAAGAAGAAAACCCTATATTACCTATTTGCTATTTTTATCAAAAAATATATTTATATTTGATGATATAATTTGTAATATATTTTTGTATGTAATATAACATTATTGAATACAAATACAATTGAGCTTCCAATAACAGCCATCTCGAATAACAAACATGTTTTGTTCTCGTCAGTGGTCATTGTTCAGAATTTTGATTGTATTGGATTGGATTGGAAAGTTATTAATATAGGATTCAATTAATTAAATCCTATATTAATAACTTTCCAATTATTAAAAATATTGGAAATTTATTAAATTATAGAGAATATCATATATCGATTCCAATAAAAATTATTCATAATTTGTTATATATGATTTTTATTAAATAAAATATATAAAGCAAGAATATTTCATTCATAAAATTATTATTATTATATTTGTTACAAAATATTTAGCTGCATTATTTTTTCACAATTTATAAAATTTAAATATATTTTTATTATAGACCGTATCTGTATCCGTATCTGTGTTAACGTTAACTTTTATTTCGGTTGATCGATGGTATGCCATCTGTTACCCTCTGCGATTCAAGAGCACCGCCTTCAGAGCCAAGACATCTATTCTCATTATCTGGCTGATGTCTCTACTTTTAGTCCTACCTGAAGCTATTGTCTTGGATACCCGTCGTCATCCAAACATCCAAGGAGATGTCGATTATTTGACTGATTGTGTCCCCACCTGGTCCGATGGAGATACAACTATATATCAACTATTTCTTATACTAATATTATATATTTCACCATTTATACTAATGTCTATCGCTTATTATCAAATTGCCAAAGTTCTTTGGAATAAAAATATACCGGGATCATCTGAAACGACAGTTAGACATTCACGTAAATGTAAGTATTTTTACATTATTTTTGATATAAGTTAATTAAAGTAACTTTTAAAATTATTTATATTACAAATCACTAATGCGTACTGATTCTCAATCCATCCATTCTGTTCTATGTTTGTCCATTTCTCGTCGTAATGGATCTTGATGCCATGTTTATAGAAAATAATGCTCATCCCACAGATGTCACATTGCTTGGCCAATATCTTGAACATGATCCTAGCCGAACTAAATGGTCTGTTCATACAAAATATCATCTGGCCAACCAGAATACTTAACTCAATATAGCATATTTGGGATGCTCCAGGAAGATGAATTGCTAATCTCAGTACATTTCGCTCAACCTCTAGCATCTAGATCATTTGCAGAGATGACAATCATTTAAACTTTCATTGGCAATGTTATATGTAGCATGTTCAGTCGTTGTTAAGTTTGTATTGATGCCCGAGGTGATGTATTGAAAATGTCTTACTATGGAACATTTACGTGCCTGTTTGGATATTAATTACGTAATATGCATATCTCATTAAATATTCAATAAAAATGTTTTTTTTTTCTTCTTTGATATATTTTTCTGAAAATTATATAATACGTTTAATCAGTAATTTCCATTAAACTCCGTTAAAGAGAAAAGTTTTATTCGTGATTTTTGTATTTGTTACTAAGTTTTCAAGCACTAATGTAGTTTAATTAGTACAGATCTGAAACATATTTATGCTAAGTAAATATTAAGGAATAGTTAATTATATTGAAACTTTAATAGGTAATCCATAAAGTTAAGTGATTCGCTATTCTATTAATTAATTAATTTTGTAATTTTTCTCCACTTAAAATATATGATTAAATATCAAGAAATTGATTTTATATCCTTTAAATATTATATTACACTTATTTTCAATACAAATATATACCAAAAGTATTTAAAAATCAATTAATATTTTGAAGATTTGTTTGTAAATTAGTAAATTTGCTCAATTTAGATGGAAAATCGTAAACTTTGACGTCAGTTCGACATTATTTCCCTTTTACGATGAATAAAATATAAAATAATGTCATATAGATATAAAACTAGCCATTATCCACAAATTTAATGTATTCATTTTTATTAAGTATCGCTACAGCTTTATTTTTCCTGTTTTATACATCAAATATATTAAAAACGTTGTGTAAAAATATTAATATTATATTTAAAAATAAATTTTAATTTAAATATAATAACATATATAATACAATATATTTTCGTTTTGCAGTAACAGTGAAGCATATAGATAAAAACGGTACAACTAAATTTCAACCTGTTAACCAGAATTGCGAAGGACAAATAAGATCAAGAAGAAAAGCAGCAAAAATGTTAATAGCAGTTGTTGTAATGTTTGGTTTGTGCTACTTACCTGTTCATCTTATAAACGCCCTCAGGTAACTTTAAATAAATTGAGATTATATTAATAAGAAAGTTTATTTTTACTTAATTTTACATTAAAATGTTTAAATAATTCAAAGAAAATTATTATAAAAAAGTATTTCTATATTATTAAAATAAATCTTAAAATTTTTATTATATTTTAATGAAATTTTAGTTAGAAAAAAATTATAATAAAGTTTGTTTTAGATAAAAGTGTCTAAAATAATAAAATGTCTTCAAATTGAATTCTGTGGTTTTCTTAAGAAATTCCTTAAAATAGGCATTCTAAAATATAAAAAAAAGTTCAAGAAGAAAAACAAAAGAAGAGAAAACAAAGAATTCTTTGACTCAACTGCATTGCATTTCTTAATGCGCTTAAGTTAAGCACTGTATTTCTTATTCTAAATTGCATTTATTAGGAAAACACAATAAATCATATATAGAATAATTGTATATATTTGAAGCAATTTATAGATTTTCAACAAAATATTTCCTACTTTCTATATTCTAGACTCTAGACTTTAAATATGCGAGTTGCAATGAGTTATTTTTAGACAAAGCTTAACTTGTTTATATATAGAAACAGATTTCAAATATACAATTATTTTCCTCTGTCGATAAAATAAGAATTTATACTGATTTAAAATTAAAATTTTAATTAAATTCTTCGTTGATATTAATTTTTAATTACTATTATTTTTTGTAGATATACCATTGGACTTCCTCAAAGTCATGCTACAACAGTAGCGTCACTTATCTCCCATTGGCTTTGCTATGGTAACAGTGCTGTAAATCCTCTTATATATAATTTTATGAACGGTAAGTCTGCTTTATCAATAAATTTCGATTTAAAGTATTAAATAAGATATATTTTAAAACTTTAAATAGNTTATAAATACTTATAATGTGTTTCCATGGTGTCTAGGCTCGTGTAATCGCATTGAGAATATCACATGATACCAACTCGTTCAGTGAATGTACTTTCCTGAACGAGTTCGTGACACATGACACTCCAAACATTCGTTTTACTACTCTCATAACTCGATACTATGCATCCAGGTTGGAATCGAACATAAATTATTTCAATTTATAAAGATGCTTTTCGTCAAAATATGACATTCTATTGTAATGTATGTCATTTTATTTCTTTTCTTAATGTGTTTAAAAATGGAAAAATGAAGTAGATAATCGGAAACTTATATCAAGAATCCAGATCCGACTTGAAACTAAACATTTGTTTTTACATTATTTCTCTCGTTAGATATACATTGATATAAACACAATGACCTATTGTTTAAATATTTTATTCAATTGTATATAGGTACGAAAAAGATATGAGCGGATATATGGAACTGTATACAGTATATAAATTTGAAGTTACTATTAAAATTTTGAACATTATATATTTGATAGAAGTAATATCAAACAAATGCTGAAAGACATAAAAAAAAAACTTTTTATTGTTGTTAGTTTGAGAAATTACTTTTTCCGCTCGAATAACTATATTAAAGAAACATAGAGCTTTAAATCTGATAAATGTCCATATGGCTCATTTAAACAATTCTATGGTAGATAAAACTCCCTTTTTAGATGTGCCAACTGCTACTTTGTTCGAAGTAATAAGAAACGAATAAATTCAGGATTTTGTCATCGAATAATTTTTTTTTTCTCTCATTGTAACTGCCTGTAAAGTTTAAATCGGATTTGCTAAAAATGCTTTACCATCTAATGGGCGATTAGTAATTGTTAACCTCACTGTCGATAAAATAAGAATTTATACTGATTTAAAATTAAAATTTTAATTAAATTCTTCGTTGATATTAATTTTTAATTACTATTATTTTTTGTAGATATACCATTGGACTTCCTCAAAGTCATGCTACAACAGTAGCGTCACTTATCTCCCATTGGCTTTGCTATGGTAACAGTGCTGTAAATCCTCTTATATATAATTTTATGAACGGTAAGTCTGCTTTATCAATAAATTTCGATTTAAAGTATTAAATAAGATATATTTTAAAACTTTAAATAGAAAAACTTTAGTTAAGTTTGAAATTTTCGTGTCATTAAGTTTTTTTACATGAAATATGAAAGAACATTATCTTTATCAAATATTTAAACTTAGCGGTTTCCTATAATTTTATTTATAATTTTATATTTACTTATACAAAGGATTATATATATACCTTTATATAAAAATTTATAAGTGACTTTCTTGTGAAAATTTGATACTCTGAGAACTAAATCTATCTTTGGCAGAAAAAAAAAATTGTTTATTAATTTTAGATAAAGGTTGAACCAATATATTATATCCGGTTAGAATACAAAATCAAAATTTTAAAACATGTATTTTATTATTTTATACCAAAAAAGAAATAATTTTAAATTATGGTTCAAAGTTATTAATTTGGTTTCGAAAGTTTTCTTACTACGTGTAAATTGATATATTTCTGTTCAAAACATATTTTTATCTTAAATGAGTCATTAAAACTTGTGCATGAAGTTTTTTCATTAATTAATTAACTTTTTTTAAAATTTACTTTTATTATAAAACATAAAACAAAACTGTTGAGAAACTTTATTAAAAAATAAATTTTTATATTATTAATAATTAATCTATATTAAAGGTTACTCCGTTTACTGAGTGTAGACGCATAGATTTAGTATGAAAAAATTACTACCCTTCTTGAGTATTTTAAATTCAATTTTTTTAAATACTCAAGTATTTAAATCTACTAAAAAAATAAGTCAGTTTTTTTAGTAGATGTTGAAAAATTTCTTTACATTCAACAAATATAATACAAAGAAAAATTAAATAAAAGTTTAACAATAAATAAATAATATAAATTAATGTAACACTTAAAATTTTTTTCATTATGTTCATATACTTCTAAATTGATTTCTTTAAATAAGTTTTATTTCTTTTTGACATAGTTAATTTTTCATCTATTGCATAAGTTTTTCTCATTTTAAATATATTTTTTCATAAAACTTTTAGCGTAGAAGATAAAGAAAAACACTTAAGATTGAGATCTATCAGATAATATTGATATACTTGTATATGTAATCGAGTGTATTTTTTTTTTAACAAAATGTATATTTTTAATCAGCACTTTTTAAATTGTTACTAATTATTTATTAGTCAGGTTTGTTAATTTTGTTTCCACTTTTGTTAAGAGTATGTCAATTCCTCAACACAATTATAATATTTTGAACTGAATTTTGATATGATATTGTTTTCACTCTACTTTATATTTCATTTGATCAACACGTTATGTTAACTTACATTTTCGTAAAAATTTTATTTCGAATTCAAATTCAATATTTTAATCTTTAAGTATTAAAAATCATAAAAATACACATATTCTATGTTTCTATGATTTTCAAAAATATTTTTAAACGCATATTCTTTCAGAAAAATGCAAATCATGATTTACAGATTCTAATACACAGTGCTGGTTATTAATTATAAATATTTATAATGTGTTTCCATGGTGTCTAGGCTCGTGTAATCGCATTGAGAATATCACATGATACCAACTCGTTCAGTGAATGTACTTTCCTGAACGAGTTCGTGACACATGACACTCCAAACATTCGTTTTACTACTCTCATAACTCGATACTATGCATCCAGGTTGGAATCGAACATAAATTATTTCAATTTATAAAGATGCTTTTCGTCAAAATATGACATTCTATTGTAATGTATGTCATTTTATTTCTTTTCTTAATGTGTTTAAAAATGGAAAAATGGAGTAGATAATCGGAAACTTATATCAAGAATCCAGATCCGACTTGAAACTAAACATTTGTTTTTACATTATTTCTCTCGTTAGATATACATTGATATAAACACAATGACCTATTGTTTAAATATTTTATTCAATTGTATATAGGTACGAAAAAGATATGAGCGGATATATGGAACTGTATACAGTATATAAATTTGAAGTTACTATTAAAATTTTGAACATTATATATTTGATAGAAGTAATATCAAACAAATGCTGAAAGACATAAAAAAAAAACTTTTTATTGTTGTTAGTTTGAGAAATTACTTTTTCCGCTCGAATAACTATATTAAAGAAACATAGAGCTTTAAATCTGATAAATGTCCATATGGCTCATTTAAACAATTCTATGGTAGATAAAACTCCCTTTTTAGATGTGCCAACTGCTACTTTGTTCGAAGTAATAAGAAACGAATAAATTCAGGATTTTGTCATCGAATAATTTTTTTTTTCTCTCATTGTAACTGCCTGTAAAGTTTAAATCGGATTTGCTAAAAATGCTTTACCATCTAATGGGCGATTAGTAATTGTTAACCTCATAATATCATCTAACAATTACTTTTCGAATCATTAATTTTGGGAGAATATACAATTTACGTTATTTTTATTTTTATTTTTTCGTTAACAAATTAAATATAAACTAAAAAATTGAAGAACATGTCATTTAATTATAAAAAAATAAATAATAACTATTGTTTGATTCGTGAATTTTTTAAAGCTAACAATTTCTGTTTGATAATAATAACTACATATTTTTTACTATTTTTGGAGCGCAATGCCGTGATTTTCTAAATTGTTAATAAGTTAATTCATTTTTTTTAATGTACTGTAATTAGCAATATATTTTACAGTATTTGTGACTATCAATAACATAAATTCAGAAATAAATTGAACAAAAATAATCTGATGAAACTTGCGATTCTCACAGAAGTAATAATGAAGAAATAATAATGGAAAAGTAAGTTAAAGAGAAATGATATTTATTAGTTGAGTAATTTCCACTATTGAAGATGAAAAAAAAAATGTATAATTTTTCTTCCTTTAATTTGTTGTTTCAATATTTGTTCTTGCCTCCAAATGTTTTTGAGATACTTTTATTGTATAATTTTCTTTATATTCTAAATCACGTTGCTTTTTATATTTTGAAGTTTATCCTCTAATATATTTATTTTTATTATATAGTTTGAGTTTGCGTATTCTAAATTAGTGAAAAGAATTATGAAGAAAAGGAAAGTTCACACAAAATTGACTATTGGCATAAACCTAAATGAACTTTGTTCGATCAAGCGATAAGTAAGTTAAAACCTGGATAATATTGATGTCAATTAAGGAAATGTATTATCTAGGAATTCATGAAATTATCTCGAGAATGCTTTCAAATATTTGCAGAAATTTTTCATCTCTATCCATATTGTTTTCAACGAATAAACCGGAAGTCATTATGAATTCTAAATATTTAAATGAAGATATCATTCACTGTTCTATCCAGAGTTTATGCCAGATATGATTGCACTATTGACATGACCATCTCGTTTTTTTTTTCCAATTCAGTTATATCTTGTTCGCAATGAGAATGGTCAGCATAAATGACCAGTATGCTCGATGTCTTGGCTTATATTATTCGCTGGCTAATATCTGAGAAATTCAGATTCGAATCAGGATTGGATACTCAAACTTGTAAAAACTAGATCGAATTTGAACCTTAATTTATTCTGAACGTAAGTTGTCTAAGCCTGTACGTTTGAATCTGACCGATAGTTTAATAATATTATTATCTTCCGTCCTAAGGGCACCAAGAGAGCTTTTTTCCAGACTCCATTGTGAGTTCGGTCAGGCAATCATTTCCTACATATCTGGAAATGATCGACCATGAAGAAGGACGTCTTTTCATAAGGATTTTTTTTATAACATTGTGAAAGCTATTCAACGAAATCGTAATAAATGATAGAATACTTTGAGATGCAAATAGTACAAGAATATTAGAATTTTTGACTCGGTGGAAATAGAGTAAGATATAAAGTGATTT